GACACATGCAGGGTGGGCTCTCTTCTCCATACAAACAGGAAAAAAAAAAAGTTCAGCCACTGCAAAGAGGCCCACTGAAACACCAACGTCCTCCCAAATGAAAAATGTAAAGTTCAGAACGAAGTTAAAGGCAGAACAATACCCCAGCAACTTTTTTACGAATCTGGAGGACAACTTTTCTGTAAATCTGAAAATTTTATCAGCACACGATCGACTGGATACATAAGAAAACGTGATGATCAGATACATTCAGACACTCACTTCCTAAACAGGAGAAGAAACAAGCTAGCGCGAGACAGACGCCTGCAAACTCAACTTTCAGCGACATCAGTTATAGTGAAGCATGAGTTTATCAAAGATTTTGTTGTTGTGTGTGTGGAACCAGATAATCCTTTAACAAAAGTGTTGTCTGATTTAGATAAAGCATTGTAAACAAGGAGTAAAATGTAAAGTAAATAAAACGAGCTTATTCAATAGGCAGGTGTCAAATTTGTCGATTTTTTTGTTTCTTTATGACAGTTTTATGTTAAGTTCAAATTTTAAAAAGTTACTCTTTTGCAAAATAAAATGCTTTATTGTGAGATTCTGTGATTTTTTTAAAGACAAGTAAGTACTTTTAAATACCTTTCAAAAGCATTTAATATTCTGCTGAACCAACAATTTGTTATGTTAGTTAAAGTGAAATAACAGCAATAATATTTCGAATTCGGTGGCTTATTTGTTAAATTATTTTTCAGTCACTTTATAATTACACAATTTTTAAGTTAATAATACAAGAGGTTAATAAAAATATATTGTTAGAAGGAAAATGTGAAACTATATTTAATTAAAGTGAAATAACAGCAATAATATTTCGAATTCGGTGGCTTATTTGTTAAATTATTTTTCAGTCACTTTATTATTACACAATTTTTAAGTTAATAATACAAGTTATAGGTTAGGTTAATAAAAATATATTGTTAGAAGGAAAATGTGAAACTATATTTAAAAAAATGAAAAAAGCTGAATTTGGGTAAAAACAAAAACTTATTTCATAGGGCTCTATAGACATCTTGACTCTGTACCAATGAACTCTCCCTTTGTCGACTTTTCACTGTTCTGTAGTCATGATTTGGTTAGTTTCCATGTGGCTAAAACTACGACAACCATGCCCCTGACCTAATGCTTTCCAACCACAATTTATATACACTAAATAGTGCTAGACCAAGGAAAGTGCAGACAGTTAGAGGAAACAAGCGCTTGTCTTTATGTCCTGCTGTCAGCTCCTTCACATCCAACCTCCCAAAGATGAAAAYGAGCACTTCCTGCTGCTGAAAGATRGAGTTWTGATGTTGAAGTACACAGGGCTACAGCACTTTTTACCCCAAAGGCTTTCAACCTTTTTATATTTTAAAGTCTTAAAATAGAATCAACTTTTATTCCAACTCCATCTGCTCTTTGACAGACAGTAGGGGGGTGGCATTAGAAATACTTATATATGTATGGTAACGTTAGGTCGCAATCAAAACACATTTTCCTGGAAAAAGACGAATGGCTCCACAGGAAAACAGACACATTAGAGCTCAAGTGCACAGACTTAAAGTTTAGTGCCAGACTGAGAGACTGGACTTTTTTCTTTTCTTTTTTAAACGTGCTACTTTTACACCCTAAAATTATCATCAGACACCTTAACAAAGCAGTTTCGGCAAGGACAAATAAAAGTGCATTAGTCATGCATCCTTGAAAATGTCTTCCCAAATGGAAATCCCATTCAGGCACCAGCCAGACCCATGTACTGGAAGATTACATAACTGTCTCCTGCAACAGTGGTGGCCCCAGCTCAAAGAACTGATCTGCCATGTTTGGTCAAACCTCTTGGGAAGCGGTGTATGAAGCAGGGCACATTGTAAGCAATCAAGGAATAGATGCAGGTGRTACGGCTTCAAAATCCTGCTCACAAACACCAGCCTCCCTTCAACCCCGCCTACTTCTCAAGCCCAGAAAAGCACTGAGGATGTTCTGCGGATTATCTTCACAGGAAACCACGTGCAAGTGGCCACCTTTACTTACCGAGCACGCACCGACAGCTGCAAGCCAATCACGTCTACAGCTATCAGGGAGACTACTCGGCTTCACGTGACCGAAGCTTTAGGTTTACCCACCTGTGCTGCTCTGTGGGACGCTACTGGCAGAAACATCCATGGCCAATCTGAGTACTGCAAGGCACTCTCCCTGCTTTAGGTGGACAGGAACTGATGCAACMAAGCTAGACTCGTCCGTTTAAAGTCATTAGTGAAACTACTTACGGCTTCAGCCAACCAATGCAGTGGAGAACAGAGCACAGGCGTAGGCCCTCCCACCTACGGCTTTCACATAAAGAACGAATTTGCTTCTTTTCAAATTTGTGCTTCGAGAGTAAAGTTTGAAAATAAGCAGACTAAAATTATGCATTCACAGCCCTGCTGCTAATGTAAGATGATGAAAGGAACCATGTATTTATTTGCGGAGTGCAAAAGGAACGAGTTATCAACTTTTCACCAACACGCTTGACTGAACATGAAACATCCCGAGCGTAATAAAAGATGCTCCTCAAAGATGCACTAGAGCCTTCAAACAAAAATGAGAAGTAATTTTAAAATGTTGGTGCTCAGGACGCCGGGGGGAGGGGGGAAGCAAGGGAACAAAATGCTTTCATTAAGATCTTTACAACATCTTATTTCACTCAATTTTCTTCATCTATCAATTGCAAAAAAAGAAAAAGATAACAAAAAACGTGCAACACTGCATGCAACCTTTTTCCTTCCCTTTAAATGTGCAGATTATCTATCTCTGATTAACACTGAAATCTACGTCGCTTAGCAACAGACAATTAAGAAATATGCTTTCCGATCAGCAGAAAAGGCTGCCCATTATCAGACGAATTAACAGAAGCAACAAATGTCAGCCACATGCAAATGATGTTGTGATAAGAGTGTTTGGAGGGGAGGGAGGTGGGGAGCTGCCGGCGTGACCTCGAAAAAGGAACATTCTTCCACGGAACTCAAAAAAGAGAGGACCTGTRCCGCCCCCACAGCCGCTTCTCCATCTTCAGGATCTCGCTCTCTGCTTCTCATTTCCTTGACAACACATTAAGGGAGACCACTTCATAAAAGTAACAAGTGCAGCAACCCACAGACCCAATAAAGACGCGGGGTTACGCAACCAAAAACAGTGTTGAAAAAAGGATTTAATTTCTCTCTAAGTCAATCAGCTCTAACCAGCAGGGTGATGTATTATTTTGTTAGGAGAAAGAATCAAGGCATTTAGGTATAAAAATAAGCCCAAATTGGGTTTCATTTTCACATTTAACTGAAAATAAGAAAAGCTGCTTTACTGTTTGTACAAACCTTTTGAGGTTCACAAAGATCCTGTGCTATTCTGAATCATGTTTTTTTTTCAAATAAATTATTATTGAGGAACACAGAATAAAAAGTAATAATAAAAAAGTGCTATTAGGAAAAATACATTTGACCTTAGAAATTAAATGAAAGTAGCCGTAATTTTGCTCAAGGGCAACAAAATGTAACTGAATTTCCAAGCGCTGTTCTCTTCGTCAACAATGTTATTAGGTCACAAATTTCCTTCAAAAATATTATGGCTAATGAAAACAGCAAAACTTTAAATTAAAAGAAATTATCGTTTCGAACTAAAAAATAAAAAACACATTTTAGATGCATTTGCCTCTATGACAAAAATCAATCAAACATTGTCCAGTTGTACTGCAAAGCAACAAGAGTTTAAAGCTATAAAAAACAGTTATCTATTATAGCCTACACAAACATACATCCAATTAGTGTAATTGGATTTGTGGCCGTTAAGCTCCAGATTAGGAGAGAGTACAGTGTAAAATAGAATGACAGCAATCCCTTTACATACAAAAAAACAAGCAGTATGTTCTGTTTTTGACACTTRACTCAGTCTATCTAGAAAAAAAAAGGTGGTAGTACCTTTTGGAAGGACAGCTGGTAAGCACTATCATGCATTCTTAAAGTATTTTTGACGTGCTTTCCAGTGCATCTGTACCAAATTTTCACTGTAATCCTTGAACAAACCAAGTACAAAAACCTTTTTTAAAAAAAAGCCTCGCTGCAACTCCAAAAAAGCAGTGTGCAAAAATAAATCTAACAGACGGCTTAATTAAAAGCAAACAATCAAAAAATGTTGACCTCAATAGCGTGAGTGCTGCTCATTTAAAATGCTTCGACTTGGTGATGAGACAGGATCCCCTCTGGCAAATGACACAACTCTGTTGCAATACTTGTATAAATAGTTGCATAATTTAAAAAAAAAWAAAAAAAGAGGGAGACCTCTCAGAGTAAAGCTGCTTAACTTGTCAGGCTCATCTTACATGCTTCTCTTCTTTTCAAAAACAATGTCAAGTGTGATTTGATTTCGTATGCTTAAGATCTATCACATGGAGAGCACATATTCGCCATGAATTTCATACAAACAAAATCAGGCGGTAAGTGTTACTAGAGGAATACAGCAACAGCGGCTGAAGTAATTAATGAGAAAGGTAAGTTTTGACATTACTTGTCTCAGGTGAGGTGATCATGGTTGAGACTATGACAGGCGGACCAGTGCGACGTCCCACCATCTTGTTGTTGGCAGGGATTTGCCCTTGCAGAGYGGTGGTAGTGGTGACAGGAACAATGGTACTCTCGGGAGCACCGCCGATCCCCTTCCGGAGAAGCTGTGGGCTGTGGAGGGGGCTTGCAGCAGCTACAGGAGATGGTAGGGGGAAATTTGTGGGTCTCTTCATCAGCTCCATGGGAGAATAGGAGCCTGAGAAGGTTTTGGGTGCTGCTCCAGGGGTACCGGGTGCTGGTGGAGGCGGCTGTCCAAGAGCAGACATGGCAAGACCCGTGTGGGGGTTATACATGGAGAGAGGCCTTCCCTGGGTTGCCACATTGTTATATCCCCCAGGGCTGACTGGGAAGGTTCCAGCTGCCAGTGGCCTTGTTCCTGGGAAGGTGGTGGTCTCCAGGAGGTGTTGGGAGGGTGCACTATTTGGTCTCCTGCCAAGAAACTCTCCCATCCTGGGGGACACGTTTTGCATGGCGTTGGGAGGTTGCTGCATCAGGTTGGGGTCCATTGTCAAACCCTGCGGCTGCATGTAGAGGTCGTTCCGATGGCTGAAGCTGTTGGATCTGGTACGCATTGCCGCCCCACCTGTTTTGCACCCGAGCACTACACGGGACAGAACACGGGCTTGGGCCAAGTTTGGAGCCACGGACCGGATGTCGTGGTCCTCCATCATCCCCAGTGTTGCCGTGGAATCAAAGCCATGTTGCAGGAGGAGAGTGATGGTGCTCTCCGCCAAACCTTCAGCTCGCAGGTAGGACAGAAAGGTGGGGTCAACCATCTTCTTGGGATCTGCAGCGCTGGGATGGATGGGGGGCATGTTGGACGTCATTCCAGCTGTGACAGCCACCATCGGTGCGGTGGGGTCATAGTTTGGGTCATAAGGCAACCTCTGGGAGGCTACAGCTCCATAAGCCCGTTGTAGAGCTCCGTCCATTCCCTGAGATGCTGGATCCACCAGAGAACTGGTGGCAGCTGGCAGGCGAGGATCCAGAGACAAGCTGTTGATGGTATTGTAAAGTTCGCGAGCTGTGAGTGACGGTGGCTCAGCAGCGTAAATGGGAAGAGCTTGTTGAATCCCGTAGAAAGCGGGAGTAGAAGCGCTGCCACCAATACGCTGAACGTCTGGGATCATCTTAGATCCCAGAGTCTCCCTGTACAAACGGCTCAGCTCGTGAAGAGGAGGGGGAGGAGGTGGAGGAGGTGGAGGCACGGGGGGAGGAGGCATGGCTGCAGACGTAGAAGAAGARGCCAGTAAAGAAGGTGTGGCCCTTGCTTGTCCTTGATCCCATGTGAGCCTCACCCCCCCAGCGCTGGGCCCATAATGCGTGGCTGATCTGCTGAGCAAGTGCTGGTTATCCCTGTAAAGCCCAGAATCTTCAGGTGGCTGACCAGATAAGGTAGCATCAGCCAAGTAGTAATCCTGCGGTGGTGCTGAAGCCCGGGCTGCCATCGCTCGTCTGAGGTAGAGATTGCTGTTCAGATCAGGGACAGAGTTGTTTCTTAATAGCTGCTGTCCATGTTGGTCCTGTCTGTAAAAAGAAGGCTGAGCGGCTGGACCCCGTTTCTCAGAAAGATCTAGATAATGGTAAAACCCAACTTTACCGTCACTACCACCCAGTGGCAAAGAATTCCTACGTCCTGCGATGGTACCACAGTAGTGACACCGGCTCACAGACCTGTCGTTCTGGCCCTCTCCCCACACAGGAACACTCTGGCCCACAGAGCCACCAAAATGCAACTGCTTGCTTGAGTTAGGCATCAGTAAAGACAAAGASGGCAGCTACAAAGGCAGAAAATAGAGCCGAGTATTGTGTTTCAACTCTCCAATTACAATCGCCCCCAATCAGAAGGGAGAAATGGAGAGGAGAGAYGGACAGGTGAAGCAGTAGGTAGTCTTTTACCTGATCTGCAGCTGTAACCCCCAGCCCTCCCCTCACTCTTAAGTCTGTGCTATCATGTAGCTCCCTGCTGGCAGCCTATCTAAATAATTCAACCCTGGAAACATTAGAAATCCAGGAGGARAGTCATACAGCATGATAAAGACACACACACATATTCAGGCAGAAAAAAAAAGGCACACACCTTTAGAGTGAGGCTCTACTCCACTGAGCAGGGATCATGCTTGTGCTAGGCATCATGGTTTCATCCATACTAGACTGAGGGCAAGAAATTGGGGTAAAACCACATGCTGGACAATGACAACAGACTGGAGGAGGGGACGAGACATGCTAATCCAATGGGGGTTGATAGACTGTATTGGCAGGGGCTGTCCTCTCGTCCGCTGCGTATGCCACGAGGGGATTAGCGTCAAGCTAAAACCTGCTTAAACCCACTACCCCCRTGACATCACTTGGACTACATAGTGTACACAGCCATCACACTGCTGAGGCCCCAGGGTGTGTTTATAAAGTGTAAGACAGGAGTGTTTATGGTGCTTACTGCTCACCTCTCTGCTGCCCTACAGCTTGTATCCCTTGTGGGAATGAATCGATCTTACCCAAGAGACAGAGGAGGACAGAGGCTAACATGCTTCATGTCCTTGGAAAGATGGTAAGAGATAAGACTACAAAGCCTACTCCCATGAGTACTTCTAAGACTTGTATTTAATCAGGTGGGTACTAGAAGGAAAAAAATAGGACTCGGACAGTCCAGATCACATAGCCTCCTCTACTGGACATCTATAGATTTACATATTTAAGTACACACATGGAAAATGCATGTCATCATACCAACAAAGGAAGTACATGAAATCATTCAGTGTCTTTAAT